AACAGTCTGGCAGCATTTCTTTTTTATGCAAATAGCGCATATATTTAATCTCAGTGATGTTTACCATTTGATAAGTATACAATAAATGTTGGAGGAAAGACAGCTGGGTCAGCAACAAATGATATGTAAAACGATACGCTAATAAAGCTGGAGTGGGTCTGTATGATAATAAATAAAAGTGAAAATGCAACGTGGAATTTTTTCTCTTGTATTTATTTATTTTTTCTTCAGCCCACTGTGTGTATAGAATTCATTTACTTTTGCGATCAAATTACTTTTGATTTCTCGGATTCAGTTGTATGCAACTTAAGCTATTCAGTCTTTTATTACTTTGTACAATTCTGGTGAACCGCCTGTGCCCTGCCCGATGGATCTTCTGGGCAGCCCCAATCAAGGCGTGGCACCCATCGCACCACTGTCCGAGCTGCTGCATCTCCAGGAAAGTGTTGCTCAAAGATAGTGCGATAGTAGTATGCTTCCTTTGTCGTTGGCGTGTTGTATGGATATCTCTCGGCAGCTGCCGCAAACTCCGCATCGTCCACGTGGCTTGTGGCTACGCGGCGGATGCTATTGATCCATTCATAGCCGACGCCATCCGAAAACTGTTCTTTCTGGCGCCAGAGCACTGAATCCGGCAAATAGTCCTCGGCAAAAGCAGCGCGCAACACAAATTTCTCCAGCCTGGACTTCTGCTCGTCATTGAATTGGTTAAGGGGCCCAGGAATCTTATCTTGTGGCCGTATGTTCATCACATAGTTGACGAACTCCGTGTCCAGGAAGGGCACACGTAGCTCCACGCCCTTCGCCATGGACACTTTATTGGCGCGCAAGCAGTCGGACAAATGCAGTTGCTGTACACGCTTCACCAGCTCCTCGTGGAATTGCTCATAGCTAGGCGCCTTGTGAAAGTAGAGATATCCGCCAAAGATCTCATCTGCGCCCTCGCCAGAGAGGATCATCTTGATGCCGGTGCTCTTAATGTAACGGGCCAGCAGCAGCATAGGCAGGCTGCATCTGACAGTCGTCACATCGTAGGTTTCCAGATGATAGACAATGTCCCGGATGCCGTCCAGTGCATCCTCAATCTCAAAGACGAGCTCCGTGTGGTCACTGTCTATGTACTTGGCCACTTGTCGAGCTGCCTCAAAGTCCGGTGCATCTCTGAGGCCCACCGAGAAGGTCTTCAGTCTGTAGTCCGGATTGGTCTCACGCATAATCTTGGTGGCAATCGATGCTATCAGACTAGAGTCGACGCCGCCAGAGAGCAGCGCGCCAAAGTGAACATCGCACTGCAGATGGGTGCGCACGGCGGACTCCAAGCTGGTCCTCAGCAGCGACAAGTCGCAGGGCAAACTGGGAATCTGCTTCATCCAGGGCTGCTCGAAGTGTCGCCAGCGATGCATATTGCCCACTCGTCCGTAGCGCGCCTCACCCGGCGTAAATGTCTCCAACTTCTCGCAGCAGGCAGTCAGGCATTTCATCTCGGAGGCCACCCATATGTTGCCCTTGGCATCCTCGCCAATGTACATGGGTATAATACCAAAGGGATCACGTGCCATCAACACCTCCTTGGTGGTCTTGTCGTACAATGCAAACGCGAACATGCCCGTGATGTGCTGCAGCAGCTCTTCGCCGTAATCTTGATACAGTTCCAATATGACGTGGCAGTCACTCTTTGGCTTATAGCCGCCACGTCTTTTCGCTATCTGTGCAGATAGTTCTAGATAGTTGTAGATCTCACCGTTGGCCACCAGCAATAGATTGCCATCATCCGACACAAATGGCTGGTCGCCCAATTCGACTCCCACAATGCGCAGTCGCTCGTGGACCATGGCCACTCCGTGTTCTGGTATAATCTGGACGCCTGTCGAGTCGGGTCCACGATGTCGCTGTCTGCCACTCTGCCTATAGGCCAACTCGCGAAGACTATRCTTGCAGCCATCCAAACACTGTGCCTCTATGGGCGATCCATCGCTGRAGAATATTGCAAATATGCCACACATGATTCTCAAATTTAATTTACCGTTACTCGGTCCACGTTATGTAATATCTCTTGCCAAACGCCCGTCCACTAACKCTKCTCAAATTCAACTRACGGAATAGYTCGTTCAATTCGCATGATTTATAGAGTTCGATGATTGCATCAGTCGACTGTTAAAAGAGCACAATTTCAGARSAGYTTCGTACCTTTCAATGTTAACTAACAGTTCTGTTAGCACAGCTGAAAATTAATTGGCGAGCACTTAAGCACAGATCCAGCAAGTGTTCGAAAGCAAGTCCGTAAATATTATTTCAAATTTCAATAGCAAGTACCATAAAAATGGTCAATCATTTCTTTTATATATAATATGTAGGAGCTGCAAACGAGTAATTAATGGAAAGAGTTTACCAACTTTTATCTCAATAATGTTTAATTGTCTAACTTCTGAAATATTCAAAAGCAGAATACGTTTAAGGTGCATTAATATATATAACTGTTACTTACATCTACTGCAATCACATCTAAATCCTGTGCTTTTTATTAAAAATAGAAGATGAGAAAGATAATTTATCACTATTGATGTTTATCATCTCTCAATTGTGGCTCACTATTACATCAGCCACTGTTAACGCGCTTCAGCTGAGACACTAACTCTTGTTAGTGGTTCGGAAAGAGCACAGGCCGAAAATGTGACGTCAAACAAGGGCTGTTAGCTAACAGTGCGAGTGCCACTATTAATGCTTTTAACCTACTTAGTCTTTTGACAATGTATTCTATCGCTCTCCATCTCTCCTCCGCCTCTCTTCACTCTTATCAAAACACTGACCAGCTTAATTGAATTATATGTATTTCAATTTATTGAATGCACGTGCGAAACACAATGCAAAAGTGGGGCGGAAATTAAATAATTGTTTTTAATTTGCATTCGTTTTCTAATCAATTGATTCGGTTCAGTCAGGTTCAAGAGCAATTGTTTTTCGCGTGTGAAAGCTCACTATTAATTGTAGATTATTCTTTTGGGAAAAAATTATAAACATATTTATTGATGCTCTTAAGAAATTTAGAATTAGTTTATATATTGATATTTTTCGAATTGTTATTTTTATTTTAAACAACTATGTATTGAAAAATGGAAAACAATTAATACAAATATTTAACACTTGCCATAGGCCTGATTATGGGCCGCCTGTGCCCGCCCTGACGGATCTTCTGGACAACCCCAATCCTGGCGTGGCGTCCACTTCGCCACAGTGTTGGCAGCTGCCTTGCCAGGAAACTGTTCCTCGAAGATGCAGCGATAGTAGTAGGCCTCCTTAGTCTTGGGCGGATTGATGGGAAAACGTTGCTCTGCCGCTTGGAGCTGTGCATCGGTCACATGACGAGCCGCAAAATCTGGCAGGGCGTCGATGAGGGCGTAGCCCACGCCATCCGAGAACTGTTCCTTCTGGCGCCAGAGCACAGCATCTGGCAAATAATCTCCAGCGAAGGCTTCGCGCAGCACAAACTTTTCAATGCGCCACTTTCGTTCCCCCGCAAACTCATTAAGAGCACCTGGAATCTTGTCCTGCGGACGTATGCTCATCACATGGTTTACCAGCTGGGTATCCAGGAAGGGCACACGCAGCTCCAGTCCCTTGGACATGGTCACCTTGTTGGCACGCAATATATCGGAGACATGCAGCCGCTCGCAGATCGTGACCATTTCCTCATGGAACTGATCGTAGTTGGGCGCCTTGTGGAAGTAGAGATACCCACCAAAGATCTCGTCTGCGCCCTCGCCCGAGAGGATCATCTTGATGCCGGTGCTCTTCACATGGCGGGCCAGGTAGAACATGGGCAGGCTGCAGCGCACAGTGGCTATATCGTATGATTCCAGGTGATAGATCAGATCGCGCAGCCCATCCAGGCAGTCCTCCACCGTGAAGCTGATCTCCGTGTGCTGGCTGCCAATGTGCTGGGCCACCAGGCGTGCATGCTCGAAGTCTGGCGAGCCAGGCATGCCCACCGAGAAGGTGCGCAGCTTGTAGTTAGCGTCCCGTTCCCTCATGATCTTGGCAGCTATCGAAGCTATCAGGCTGGAGTCCACGCCACCTGAGAGCAGCGCTCCAAAGGGCACGTCACACTGCAAATGCGAGCGCACAGCCAGCTCCAGTTGGTGGCGCAGCTCTTGAAGACTCACCGGCCGCGTGGGCGTCAACTGGCGCCAGCTGGGATTGTGGTAGCGCACGGGCTGGATCTGCTGCACTGTGCCCGCTGCCAGATGGCCAGGTGGGAAGATCTGCAATCGCTCGCACACGCCCATCAGGCATTTCATTTCCGAGGCGAACCACAAGTTGCCCTGGGCATCTTGGCCCATGTAGAGAGGAATAATGCCATAGGGATCGCGGGCCACCAGCAGCTGACGTCTGCGACGATCGTAGAGCACAAAGCTGAACATGCCTGTGATGTGCTGGAGCAACTCCTGGCCGTGCTCCTCGTACAGCTCGATGATCACATTGCAATCGCTCCTGGGCCGATAGCCGGGCAAGCGTTTGCCAATCTGCTTGGCCAGCTCCACATAGTTGTAGATCTCGCCGTTGGCAATCAGGGCAATGTTGCCGTCCTGCGACACCTGCGGCTGATGGCCCGTCCCCACGCCAATGACCGCCAGCCGTTCATGCACCAAGGCTACGCCCTGCTCCTCTATAACCAGGACGCCCGTGTCATCGGGTCCACGATGCCGTTGCTTCCCACTCTGCCGATAGGCCAACTCCCGCAAACTGTGCTCGCTGCCCTGAAAATTTGTTGCTCCAATCGCTTCTCCGTTCGCCGAGAATATGGCTAAGATGCCGCACATGTTGAGATCGTTCAGATTAAACTATTGAATCAGGTAATAATATATCTTTACACCTGTAGCCAGATTCATCTGCTCGAGCAGCTGCCTCGACTGCCGCTTTTATAACAAATTGGTCAGTGAGTTTCGCCCTTGTTAGTTTTTTTTTTTTGCCTAATTTAGTAATTTAACGATCCCAAACAATTGTTAAAAAAGCGTTAAATTCGTTAAATTTGAAAATAGAAATTAAGGCACTCAGAGTGAAGGGTTAACATATAGGGTATATATACCCTATAAAAATTTCATATAGTTATCATGTATGCGTTTTGCATACAACTAGAAGGGAAGTTATGCAAGATCTAAGTCGATCTGCATAAACTGAACGATAGATGGCGCTCGTGATGATGTGAGCAAGAGCAAATGTTTATGATTTACCAATAATTTCAGCAACTAGGTGAAGATGYCAGGGTATCTTTCAGTCGGYGCATCTTCTTTTTCGACAAAACCTAAACACACAGTTAAAAAAAACTAAAGCAAAAATAATAAAATCAGTTTATTTCGGTTAGCTACCACATTTTATTACTTAAATTTGATGTATTTTTTTAAGAATATAAAATAACGTGTAAATAAAAATGTTGTTTTAATTGCTTGCTACCAAACCTTAAAAAAAAAATAAATAAATAAATAAACATGTAGTTTATGAATGGAAATTTCGTATTTGACATCTGATTTTCGCTCAGTGTGAATTGTGAATTAAAGCCGGATTTGTAGATTGAGTACGAATAAAACTTAAATAAATTAGTCGCACGATAAATTTACATAATATTTAGTTAATCGAGAATTTTTGAATTCGGCTTAACCAATTTGAACTTAAGATTAATAATAGATTTAGAATATAGAATAAGGGCTTATATTTGCTTCGTTCCCATCAGCCTGGGAAAGTAAGGACAAGGTACATACATCAATACGGAATCAAATTTGAATTTTAGCACGTTGAGTAAATCATTTTAATTGATAGGGAGGTTCAAAGTGCGCTAGAAAAAAAATATATAAACTATGTATATCTGATTAGTTTATTCTATATGTATAGAATAGTATACTCTATAGTTGGCAACAATTCACAGCAAAGTTCAAAATTGAGTAATGTTCTATGGTTAATGGTAATGGTGAGTTATGTAAAGTTATTAGTGTGACGCTTTCTTTAACAATATTATCACTAATTAACTAACTGAAAAACAAAACACATTGTTATTGGAATTATATATTTCGGTTCCCTTTCTTAAAAGTAAATCCTGCTCTTTGGATAGGTTAAACAATCTTTTAACAGAGTACTGAAGTATCTCAAATCGTTTTTTGAAAACTGCGCCGATTTATCAGCTGTGAAAAATGATTACATTTAATTACGATAACGATAACATTTAGCGATTAACAATTCTTACTAACAAATATCACTAAATATTAACATACTTTGTTGATTTTAGCCACTTAAATATTTTTAACATATTTTATTTCTGACTTATTACAATATCTTCACTCATTTCACTGGCATCGTCAATTGGCCTTCAAAGGATTCCCTAGGAAGTACGTGCGTATGCACGACTATTCCACTTTTCTGGGCGAATGGTTTTTGAGAAGTGTGAACATTTGAATAAAACCCAATGTAATTCATAGGCAATGGAGTCCTGCAAAGTTTTAGCATTAAAATGAATAGAATTTTACTTAAATTAATATAYTTATCAATATAAACAAATGAGAATTTTTTGTTAAGTTTGTTTGGCGCTCTGCCATTCAAACAGCCAACGTCTGAGCTGGCGTTATCGATAAATGCTTGCAATCGTTTTACAGCACTGTCGCATTTGAAATATACTGACAGCTGCCTGCATCAGGCAGCGGTGCAAGAAAAATTGTATAAATTTTCAATCAAATAGAACCAAAATTATTCAATATATTTGTCAATAAAAATGTACACAGATGAGGTGAGTACGCCGCAAGCACTCAAGACGCGATGCTATGCCAGCTTAAATGAGCTCAAATGCCGTGTAACAGCGAGTGGCAGACGAAGCAGCAGCAATAGCGGCATCAGCAGCAGCAACCATTTTATAGCCGCGGCGTCTGCAACGCCTACGAATGGCGGCAAATCGAATAAATCAAAGTGCAGCCCCCAATTGCACGGCACGGTGTGCACACCGCCACCCAAACGACTACAGAAGGTGCGAAATCCTTTTGAGGGCGCTCTGGCAGAGCGTCTGCATTTACCATTGATAGCCAGGTGAGTGTGTGAGTGGACGAATTTATGCTCAGTTCTCAATAATTGATTGCTCTTCCTAGTCCCTCACTCTTTCAGTGTCGTTCGCGCACTCCACAGCTCTCCTCCACGCAATTCGAGTGGGACATCGAAGAGGTGTCCCAGCTGAAGCCCGCGGATGTGGAGCCGCATGAGACCCAATTTCATGACTCGCCGGATCCCGAACAGGAATCCAAGGCACAATTGGCTATTAGCACCTTTTTCAAGGAATCGCATATAGTGCCMAGCCCCGTGGACTGTCCGCTGCGCAAGCATCGCATAATACTTAACGAAATCAATGCGAATACGCCCATATCGAACAAATCCAAGCGTTCYCGGGACTGCGAGGTGCAGACGGAACTCAGTTTGCCTCCTGTGCTGCCCAAGGCACTGGAGGAGGCACTGCGTCCTTATTTGCAGCCCCACTTGGCGGGTTCCCAGCTGCGTAAGTCATCTAGCGGCGGGGACATGTTCAACAGCTCTATGCGTCGCAAGCTCTTTGATTTGCAAAATATCATTGTGCTAGGGGAGCGCGATCAGGAGCAGCTACACTCGGGAGATGAGCAGCATGCCCAGATGGTCGGATCCAGTCCTCATGCCAAACAGACCGTGATTGCTGGCCGCCTCTCTGATTCTGCCGGTGAGGGTTCAAGTAGCTTTGGTTGCCTATCGCCAATTAGGAATCTCTGCGGTCTGCCACCTGGCACACCGGACGATGGCACCGGTGAAAGTAGCGGGCGCAGGCGCAAACAGCTGCTGCAAGAACTAGTGGAACTGCCCTCGCCAATTGCTCCATCGGAGCATTTGAGCCGGCGCCTACACAGGAGCAAAAGCAGCAACAGCAGCGAGCACGTGACCCTCTCTGAGCTGACGACCACGGCACGAACCGCTTGCAAATTTACGCCCGATCGCAGTTCCTCGCCGATGGCCCTAGAGTACTCAACAGATAGCAGCATCAATCAGCGTGTGAGCCGTCTGCATATGAATAGCATCAAGCAATTTCCCAATGTTTCAGTACTGGAACAGGCAAATCTGCTGGTGGAGCAAGATAATGATGAAACAACWGAGGTGGACTTTGATACAGATGAGGACGAGGATGCCGACACAGACGGCATGCAATTRTCACAGYTGTCCACGCAAAGCTTCAATTGCAGCTCCAATTCGGATACGCCACGTCATTGTCGACGACGCTCTGCTAACAGAAAGAACTTATCGCAATCCTTCGGTGCAAATCTACTAGACGATGTGGAGCCCGAGCAACAGGCGGACAAAGTCGAGGCACCGCAAGTTGAGAACATTGCAGATGCAGCACCTCGCACTGGCTTCTATCGCACAGACAGCGGATTCAATGAGACGAACAGCACCTCGAATTTCGCCTGTTCCCAGGAACTGCCCAGTACTTCGTTAGATGTATCAATGGTCTGTTGCTCAACGCCTTCGACACGCTCCTGACATTAATCGTATGAAGTCGAAATCGTATTGCAATAACCCTTGTCTTGATTTAGTTAAGGATCAGTCTGAACTGCAATGTAGCCCACCGTATATACCCAAGGCCTTTCATGTTCATGTTTAGTTCATTTTTTATTAATTTTGTGTGTGAACTTATTTAGAAAATTTAAATAACTTTTGTCCATGTAGTTGCCAAACTAGTTAAATAAGTTGTCATCGTTTGCAATTTCATATTAATTGTATTTTTTAATCACATTTCTATTTCTTACAAATAAATACAATTTAAAAAATAGTATTTTATTTTAAATTTGAAATTTTCTCCAGACAGGTAATATAGCAACAGCCAAAAGACATTTCGTGTTGCTACAAAATATAACAAATTGCTATTAAAAAATTTTAATTCATATAAAAACAGCTAACTCCGCCAAACATTTAAAATGATTTGTCAGTTAACAGCCGGCAGCAGATCATGTTAGCTGTAACCACTGACTAAAGAACAGTGGTCAGTGCTGTAACAGATCACTTAAACATTAACATAACCAATTTGAGTTTAACAGTAGAGTAACAGTAAAACGATAACAATTATAGAGAGAGCACAATTCACAGTTTTCTTTCAAACATTTTGCAGAGATAATGCGAAAGAACAAATATTAATAAGTTAGTTGTTGTTTTGCCGCCGAACTGTTAACGTGTCGGTATGTAACGCGTGGAAGTGAGTGAGAAGTCAAAAATTACCAACTGAATATATGTTTTGGCAATATAAATAAAAAATTGTAAGCGAAATATTGGAAACAATGAAATTAATAAATAAACCGAAAAATATTGAGTTCATGCGTGTTTGCATTTAATTTATACGCGTTTGCTGYTTAATGCATTTAATCGTGGTACGCATGCAAAAATATTGTAATATCAGCAAACAGCAGCAAAAATAACAACAAGGGCGACTTTAGTTAAGACAAACTACGAAAATTGCTGCACTAATTTTCACCTGTGTATTGTGTTTTTGTTGTTGTAGTTTGCTACGTTTGGCTGCTTTTTGGCTATTTCGATGTGTGAGTGTCGGCATCTATGTGTGTGAGTAGCGGCATCTATGCGCGCACGTGTGTGTGTGTGGTATGCGTGAGTTGTTATAAATAGGCGAAAGAGAGAGAGGGAAGCAGAGAGAGAAAGATCACTTCTTGCAAGCAAAGAAAGTGCAAAAAGAAAAATCAATTCAACGAAATACACAAAATATGTTTATTTTTATAGGCCAACAAATAAATTAGAACGCCGACAGCATGCGAAAGCGTAAATGTGTCAGGTAAAAAAATAAATAAAAAACAGCAAATGAAATTGTATAAATTACCGGATATAAATTCTTTAGTGTGCTATTTCTTTAATGAAATGATATGAAATGGAATAAAATGAAATGCCATATATTTGGCAACACTGAAAACACTGSAATTCCTGTTACAAGAAACCAGTTAGACTGTTAACAGATCCCCCTCTCGTCTTTCTCTCGTTCACTCACTGTTAAGCCAAATCCTATTGGAAGCCGCCTGCTGCATCCGTTTTTGAGCGAAAGTTTTTTATGGTTGTCTCGCCAAAGTGTGCAAAAAAAAAAAAGAAGAAGAAAAATAAATGTGTGCAGCCTGCCAGCT